GAGAAAATCCAAGATATCTCGGACAAGACATTAAGAACGATTGCTCTACATTGACACCACTCTACCACACTCAAAAATAGAAGAAAAAGATGATAGGTAGATGCCTAAATCAAATAGGGGATACATGCATCTCTAATCAACATTAATCATTAAATTCATTTATAGTACCCTTTGAGGAACAACTTGGAAGACAGATAAAACAACTCAAGAAAATTTGAAAGTTTAAATTTTGAACATTGTTACAATGGTCATTTTATTTGAAGTTGCTATATAAGGGCCAAGCCCTCAAACAAAAAAAAGTGAAGACAATGCAATATGTGAATAAGGATGACCATAATATGAAGTAAAAAGAGTGTGTAAGCCAAAAACAAAAACAAAACGTAGAAAATAAAAACCATCATAGTAGAGCAAAACTCACAGTGAGGAATACAAAGCTGAAACTCTACGAAGAAGATCTTTATAGCAAATCTTGTATAGAGTTCTTTGTAGACTACTTGTGCCAAATTTGTATAGCATCAGGTCTAGAGGAGACAAAACTATTTTTTGTAACTCTTATCAATTGTATTTGTAAGGGTTGAGCCTGAAGAGACTTGTTTAAAATAATAGTTAGTGTTGATCTTGGAGAGGCTTGGTGAAAGAATACTTGGGTGACATCTTATCAACTTTACAGCAATAGACATCTTAACAACTATAAGCAACTTACAACAATACAACTATAAACATCTTTCAACAATAGGTAACTTACAACAATACAACAATAGGCATCTTACAATAATAGGCACCTTACAACAATACAATAATAAACATCTTACAACAATAGGCAACTTATACAACTTTAAATAACTTTTACACAATAAACTACTTCAACTTATACATCTCAACTTATTAATAATTCAACAATAAACAACATAAAAACAACTTAGTTTCACAACGTATAACAACTTTAACAACATATCACATATTATCAACACACAACATATGAACAACTTAAGCCAACAACTTAACCATTTTGAAAGAAAACAATGCATGAAGCTTCCCTAACTCTCCTAAAATTAAACAATCTACACTCTAGCTTCCCTCACCTGAAGATTGGCTCTAAAAAGCCAAGAATCTGAGAAGAAGAAAAAGAAGAAGAAATATCCTCCAAGCTTGACTCTTGAACTTCAATCCTCCAAAAACAAGCTTTGTAGTCTGAAATTCAAGAGAAGACAGAAGACATTAGTGGTCTAGAGGAGAAGAAGAATCATACAGAGAAATTAGAGAGAGAAAGGAGCCCACAAACCCAGAGTCTGTCTCTCTAGAACTTCTCTCTAAAACCTTTCATTCTCCTCACTGCCCACTACCCCTATTTATAGAAATTCCAGAGTGGCCAGAACGGCCTGTTCTGAATCCGGAACGGCCCGTTCTGCACCCCTTCATCATGTGCAAAAATCACATGTAGAACAGCCCGTTCTGAAATCAGAACGGCCGGTTCTGGGACTCATCCAGAACGGTCTGTTCTCCATCCAGAACGACCCGTACTCCAACCAGAACGGCCCGTTCTAAGGTTTGGAACTCCCCGTTCTCAACTACATTTTATAGGTCAATTCAGTAGCTTGAAACAGTCCATTCCAATTTGGGAACGACCCGTTCTAGGCTACTGAATCACCCATATTGGGCTTTTGGGCCTTCTGAATTAACTTACTACGTTACATATGTCGTGACGATCTTAAGTATCGTTAAAGTGGGTGATCGCTTAAGTTCCATCTTCAAAGAGGCACCAAATTTGTCTATATAAATACAAATATAAAATTTATATAAAAAATAAATTAATCAACAAAAATTAATTAATTGAAAGGTGCTTTTTCTATCTCTTAACAAAAATTTATCCATAATTTTAGGAAAATATATCGATAATGTTAAATATAAAGAGAAATTTGTTATATATATATATATAATATTATTGACTTATCTTTTTTTTTTAAAAAAAATTATTTCTCTTAGTCATAACTTCTCTCATTTTGGTAATAAATAAGAGTTATCATGAACTTTCTCTCTTTTCCTTAATATTTATTCTCTCTATATTATCTTAATCATAACATTTTATGCTCTTTTAAAATCTCAAATTAAATTGCAAATCTCTATATGTTAACCATTACAGGCTTGTTTTGTAATGAACAACTATTATTAATTTTTTTCTATTATAATAAATTAACAATTCAAGGTAAAGTTTTTAAAATAAGCAACCATGTATTATTATTTTATTTCATTACCATTTATTCATTAAAGGATTATTTGATCCATATATAGATTATAATTTAATTTTTTTTTCTATATTTGTCTAATTGTTTGAGTTTGAACATATCATTTAGAAAATAACCTTATGGTCATCTAAAATAAAAAAGAAAGAAAGAAATTGATATTGATTCTTAAAAAAATGTTCTTGATAATTTTTTTTATTAAGCATCCTATAATTATTCTTCAAAATGATGTAAATATAGATATTCTGGGCAAGAAACTTAAAAATTTTGATAATGAAGAACTATATAAGAATTATGAAAAACTTAATATTTTAGTTGAAAATAGTTAAAATAAAGATTATTATCATGATGAAATTGCATATTTTAATGTTGAAAATGAACATATTCTTGTCGAATAACATAATTAGTCTAATTCATTAGACATTTAAGATCCAATAAGATGAAATAACCTTAAAAATAATTTACGAGATGAATTACTAAAAAATATCTAAAAATAGATATATGCATGTCTATTGTTAATATTCCTAGGGATACTTTTAATATCTTAATAATTTTGCAATAAAAAATACAAAAAAGATAGTACTCAAATAATTAAGGGCATCATTTTTTTGGTTCGTCTAGGGCCTTAAAAAACTCAAGGCCGAGCTTGTATGTATGTTTGTTTGTGTATACACACACATAATTCTCTGTATGTAATATAAGAAATGAATGCCCTAACTTTCTTTGGTTTTTATAATTTATTTTTATCTATATATATATATATATACTAATATATAAAAAGCAATGCTTATTTCTATAATTGTTCTTAGTCTCCAGAGATTTTAGACCATTACATCCTCAATTATTAAGAATATATACAATCTATACTTCTATATATTATTAATTAATATATAAAAAGAATTATTCTCGCAACTACTTTTGGTCTCCATAAATGTTGGACCATTATATCCCTCAATTATTAAGAAAAAAGAAAATCATTTTTTTAGTAACCATCATCAATTGATTTTTTGATTAATTATCCAATCATTAATTTTCTTTTTATTTTATTTTAAAAATATTGAGAGACATGGAATGTCTCTTTCCTCAGGTGTAATATAAGAAATAAATTACTAACTTGAGTTGGTGCGAGTAGCAAGAGACTCACATCATTTAATCAAGTGATTAAAGTTCAAATCTTGACTCTTACTAGTGTAGAAAATTCAAGTTTGGAGGAGATACTTACTTACTTGGTGCCTATCAAATCTCGAGAGAGATTATCCCTGAATTCAATGGGGATTGCTCCTTGATAATGAACCAAAAAAATATAAAAAAATTCTAGCGTCATAATGTCGTCTTTTAAATTTTTATATTACAATCATTATTATTGTACGCATGCTTCCAAATTTAAATGGAGAACATGAACTATTTTTTTATTTACCTTAACCCCAAATATACTTTTAAGTTTTCATGTTAAAATTATTTTTTAATTAACTTTTAGTTTAGATCCATATATACAAGAGGGATACTTATTTCTATGTAATTGCTTTTGATTTTCATAAAATTTGGACCATTACACTTCAATTATTAAGATTCTATACTAATTTATAAAGAAAATATTTTTTTTCAAAACTACTTTTGGTCTCGTAAAATTTAGACCATAACACTCTCAATTATTAAGGAAAAAAGAATCAATTTATTTTAGTAACCAATATTTACCAACTTTCTAAATAATCTTCCAATCCATTGTTTCTTTTTATTTTATTTTTAAAAATATTGAGAGGTATTAAAGAATTATTCTCGCAACTACTTTTGGTCTCCATAAATTTTTCTATTACAATCATAGTTATTGTACATGTGTTTCCAAATTTGAATAATGAGTATGAACTACTTTTTTATTTACCTTAATTGTATTTTTTAAGTTTTCATGTTTAAAATTATTTCTTAATTAATTTTTAATTTAAGTTCATTTATACTAATATATAAAAGAAATATATTTTTTCAATTATTTTTGGTCTTCATAAGTTTTGGACCATTACATCTCAATTATTAATAATCTATACTAACATAATACTTATTCTTGTAATTGCATTTTGGTCTCCACAAATTTTTGAACCATAACACCCTAAATTGTTAAGGATAGAAAAAAAATATTTTAGTGTAAATTTTTTTTTTAGTCTCCATACTTCTAACTACCACAATCTCTTCCCATCCAACTACTAGACTAATTCTAATGATTAACTTTTTGAATAACTTAATGCTAGGTTGTCAATAAAAATCTGATTTTGACAAGTATGGTTAGAAGAAGTGATTAATTTTTTTCAAGCACACAATATTAATATTTTCTCCTTCCAATATAATTTATTTCATATCATGATCAAATTTTAATCACTAAATAACTTGGTTAAGGGACACAAATTATTATTACTTGTATTAATTAATATTTATAACAAGTTAATGATCGATAAATATTCTTTAATCTTAAAGATTAAAGAACTAAATTTACAGTAAAAAATTTGAAAATACCACCAAAATCACACATTCATATTCATAAACAAAAAGAAAATAAAGAACCAAAAACAATTTAAAAAAGTAAATTTTGATGGAGCAAAAGAAAACAACAAAAGTGTTACGTGGGCAGGAAGTAAGATATTGGTTACGTGACAACAGAAAGTTTGTTGTGGGGTACCGCAAGCAGTGGGCGACGCGCTGAGGCGCGCGTGGGGGAGGTTGACGTCAACGCGCTTTTGGGTTGCCCTAACGCAAGGAAGGGCGTGACGGAAGAAGTTCCTCTCTCTCTCGTTCTTATCCATCGCATTGAAAAGCAGCAGCATCACCACACCACACCACACCCACCTCCTTCCCTGCTTTCATAAATATGCCTCCTCTCTCTGCCATGCCCACCCTCTTCTCTTCTTCCATCAGTTGACTCTCCCTCCCTCTATTCATTCGGTCTGCCTTTTCTTCTCTTCTCCTTTCCCCTTCTCTCTCAGATCTAAGCTTTCCCTTTTTTTTATTTTTCTCTTTTTCCATCTCAGGATGGAGCCTATGGACATCGTTGGTAAGGCCAAGGAAGACGCTTCGCTTCCCAAAGGTTTGTCTCCCACACTTTTTTTTTTTTTTTTTTTTCTTCAGATTTATCGTTCTAAAATGTTGAATTAAAATAATTGATTTTTTTTTGGATTTTGCAGCAACAATGACGAAAATTATCAAAGAGATGTTGCCCCCGGATGTGCGTGTCGCTAGAGATGCGCAGGATTTGTTGATCGAGTGTTGTGTCGGTTAGGGTTCAGAAGCTTTTTTTTTAAATTTTTTTTTCTTTTGTTTAATTTGTTGTTTGTTCACTGAAATTCTGTTAGTTCCGCTGCTTTTTCGTTTTGGTGTTTCTCTTTGAGTTCAGTGGTCACCTGTGTAATTTTTCTGTGCTGAATGGTGCCTGTGTGGATACACTGGTGACCGTTGATTTTTTGTTATGGATTGTGATTCAATGGTGTTTGTATATGATTTCTCGTTGTGTGTGGAATTTGTGAATTACACACTGATTTTGGTTAAGAAATGACCAATGGAAGGGGTGACCTAACTAGATCGGTTCATTTGCGTTGTGAATGATGAAGAATGGAAAGTTAATTTTTACACACTGGTTCTGGTTCAGAAATGACAAAGAGAAGAATGATTTAATTAGATCGTATCCTTTGCGTTGTGAATGGTGTAGAATGGAAAGGTTGATGATATCTTTGGGCATGTGGTAATTGCGTTGTTTGCATGTATATATCTATAGTATGCATGGGCATGCAATAAATGTGTATTGGATTCAATTCTGGTGGCTGTTTACATTTTTGTTTGTAGTTTGATCTTCTTACTGAATGAGATTTTGTTGGATAATCTGTATTACAGAGTTTATAAACCTCGTCTCTTCCGAGTCCAATGAAGTCTGTAACAAAGAGGAAAGAAGGACGATTGCACCGGAGCACGTGTTGAAGGCGTTAGGGGTATTCCTCAAATTATTGCGCTGTTGTATTGCTAAAGTTCTCATGTGGATCCTTTTCAATTTATGTTTGATTGTTTGTGTTGTTCTATGTTGTACTGCATGTATTTTGTATTTTGAATTTTGTTTGTGTCTTGCATGTGCTTTATATGTGAAGTTCCTGTCATTCTTGATTTTTCTTTGTGTTGAATTGTAGTTTGATCGCCAATGGTAGTGCAATGGCAGGTTTTATTAGTCTGATGATTTGGTTCCTAGATCATATACTCTGTTTCAGAGTTATCAGCATATGGACAATAATTAAATTAATTTTAATGGTATTTGGAATTTTAAATAGTGTGTGAATTTTGTAGCTGTTGGAGGTATTACATGATCATATAGTTTTTTAGATTTGGTATCTAGGTATACAATGTTTGTAGCACCATACAATTCATCTTAGGTTTTGATATGTTTAGCTAGAAACACCATTGCGTGAAGATTATTGGTGGATGCTGTTTAAGGAATGTTTTTGAATTGATTTAGAGTAAATATTTATAGTAACAATTCCATCTTCCTTATTCCTGTAGAACCTGACATGCAATGTATTTTACTTAAGTCCAAAAAATACCCTTGTAAATCTGACATGCAAAGGTATTTTACTTGAAAGTAAAAAAATGATTTCAGTAGCAATTCTCTCCAATCATATTTCCTTGTATAGTCTCATTAACCTGTCCTTGGTTGCTTACTGTTTTTCTTGTCCACTCTTATTGTTATCCTCTGCTTCCTGCTTCCCACACGGTGAAATTTGTCAACTCACAAGGCAGTATCTAGTTCTTAGGCCAAAATTGTTGGTGTCCTTTTATGAAAAAATGTTGAAAAATGATTATTGCAATATGTATCTTGTTATTGGTTCACACAAATGATATCCCATAATCGGTAGGCGGAGATTACATTCTTTTGAAGCGTAGAGGTTACCAAAATTGGGATAGCATTTACTTTTACTGTATTTAAGATTTTGTTTGAATTCTCACAAGTAAAATTTATTTTTCAAATTATTTCTTTTCAATTACCAAGTGTTCCAAAGTCCAAACACATTGTTTCCTATTGTTATAGTGTAAATATTCATGACAAGATTAGTGTATTGTATGCTTTCAAGTTTATGGGTAGGTTATTTATTTGTCCATGTTTTTATCAGGTTCTTGGATTTGGTGAGTACATCGAGGAAGTTTATGCAGCATATGAACAGCACAAGTTGGAGACAATGGTGATTGTTTAATTTTAATTGCCCATGTGCATGATATATTACAAATTAGCAGTACAATTGGTTGTCTTGTTTTCATCCCTCAATTGTTTATGGGTAAAAAACATTTATAAAAATTCCATGAAATTTTGTAAGAGCACCCTTTATGAACCATTTTTGAGCTTTTATTTGAGCATCTTTCAACTACACTAGTGGAGCTTCTGGCCTGCCTAAAGGGGCCTTCTGTCATAGGGGAGCACCTGCAGGGCACCCCTGGTGATCCGCTAAAGAAGCCCGAGTTTGTCATGAAATGTAAATGTGGTATACCATTGGTGTATGCACAGGAGAGAGATCTTAATGAGCTGATAACTTTTGACACAACTCCCCTTCTCTACACTACACTGTTTACAGTGTGCTCTTTAGTGGCAAGATCTGGGTGGTTTGACCCTCTCAGTCTGGGCAAAATCCATTTGGTTATTGTGGACTATGGAGTTGATGAATGGCCTGGATTTTTTTTGTACTAATGCTAATTGTGGCCACTTAGCACCATGAGCACTAGGTGGGAGGGGATGTATTTTTTGATGATTAAACTGGAAAATTGAATTTGAATCATTAAATTGTTGTTTTTGGATTTACTTGGGCAAAGAAAAACTATTTTCTGAATAATTTTTTACCTTGCAGCAAGACTCTTTAAAAGGTGCCAAGTGGAGCAACAGAGCTGAGATGACTGAGGAAGAAGCATTGGCTGAACAGCAAAGGATGTTTGCAGAGGCACGTGCTAGAATGAATGGAGGAGCCATTACTTCCAAGCAGCCAGAAGCTGACCAAAGTTTAGAGAGCTAACTTAGGACCCTTTATTTTCTTGAAGCATAGGCAAGCATCTCTGACTCTTCCCTATGCGATAATTTAGCTCGATTTTGCACAAATCACCATTCACTTGTTTGCTCCCCTATGTGAATGTGCTCGCCATTTGTGTTCTTTTAGTAATCCATATTTGTAAGTTAATGTAATTATTGGAGTTCATCTAAACCCTCTATTTAGAATTACATGTAAATTATTTCATCTACTGTCCTGTTGTATCTTCTACACTAACAGTTCATGGCTTAATTTTTACAATAGTGACTAGTCATATTAGATTGTAACAATCTACTATAATCTTTTATAATAATGTATAAAAACGGTGAACGTTTCACAACAGTAATTAAGGTTTCATAACAATTTATAACACCATTATTTATGAATGTCTTTTTCGAGCCTAGTTGCCAAAGAAATTCTTGAATTTGTGTCGGTTAATAGTTGTGGACTCTCTCGGGTCCTTTTTATAAGACCCATTTTATCTAATTCACGCATATCCTCATTTATGAATGTCTTTTCGAACCGTGGCCGAAGACATTCTCGGACTTGTTAAAGTTCTAGTCCGACTTAATTGTCTAATTCTTTATGATTCTAATTTCGTTGATATCGTTAAGTTTGTTTTAAATTTATTTTTTTCTTAAAAATTATTCCTACATTTAGTAGACTCTTATTCTATTAACGCCTTATTGAATTAAGAAAAACAATAAATACAATATATATATATATATTTAACGATTGCTTTTTAGAAACATCGAGGAGGGAGTATTTTTTCTGGGGTAAAATTATCAATGTATTAATTTGAATGAATTTGTCGTAGAAATCTAAAAAAAAAAAAAAAAATTTAAAGCAAATCGTGCACTGTTTATTTTTCATACATTAATAAATGTGGGAAATGTTAAAATCAACTGCTCGGGATACAGTTGATGGAGGAGGCATAGGCCTAGCCCACCACAATGTGCATACATAAGTACACTTGATTATTTCAGTTTAATGAATGATTTCTAATTGACATTTTAGAAGAAGAGTTTTATTCCATATAAATAGTTTTTAACATTTTCAAACAGGATTGTTATGATCTAGTACCAAACTTATCTGTGCCATGCTCTGACACGAATATGGAAATTCTCACTGTAGGTGTACTGATCCGTTTCAAATTCTTAGGCCATGTAGTACCTGTTACTAAAACAAGTCTTCTATTATTGAATGAGAGGACTTATATTATTTTTTCACTAATGATTGATGCCTCTTCCTTAATAAGGAACTCTGTTGTGATGATTTTGAGTTAAATTACAAGTTTGTTGTTACCAAAATAGAGTACTTTTGGTGGGGGCCAAAGGGGGAGATGTCAGTTCGTAGGTAGGTGCAATGTAGTCTCTGCAGGCAACACGAGCCACGAGAATCCAGTAACTCTCATCTCATGACTGATGTCACCACCGTGAACCGTTTCACTAGAAGACATAGATGCAGAAGGGAGTGGCATGTCGAGATTCAACAGTGATAGCTTTGGGGTTTTTTTGTTTGTTTGTTTTGGCTTTATTTTTCATCCTTTTCTACCGTTTTGGGGTCCTCAAGTCAAAAGAGTTAGTAGTCAAGCACAATCCCCTCTCTCTGCCCCACAAGAAAGCGAAATTACAAACACGTTGTCTCCTTAGATTCCCTTCTTTTTTTTCCACTTGTAATGCACTCTCTTTGATTTCCTACATCAACTGGTGGGGACTGCCCTGCCCTTGTTTCTTTTGTCAGGATTCTCTTGCATTCACTATATACCAAAGGAGAGGCCTAGGCCTGAGTTACAGAGAACAATTAATTAAATCCGAGGCCTCAACACATATCCATCACCAGAAATAGAAAAGAAGAAACTCGATTCTCTCTCTGTCTCTCTGTCTTTCTTTCCCATCTGTTCTTTAACCTGCAGCCACCCTTTTGGTTTTTCTCTCTCAGATGAACACAGTCATCTCTAGAAGCTCTCAAGAAATGTCCTCCAAGAGGCACCACTTTCACTGGACAAACAAGGTTGGCACTGAAGATGGTGAAGCTCCCACTTCGGAGTCATTCTCAACACTCATCAAGGAGGAGAAGAAAGAGGATGAAAAAGTCATTGCTCCTGAGGCTCCAGCACCTGCAGCCACAGCACATGCAACAAGGAGGAAGCTGCAAGCAGTAGCAGTGTCCAGGATTCGCTCTGTTCTCACTGTGTTCAACAAGAATCGTTTGAACTCGTCTTCTGGCCTTGGCTCTCGTGTAGTTGGCACCCTCTTTGGATATAGACGTGGCCATGTACATTTTGCATTTCAAAAGGACCCCACTTCGCAACCAGCCTTCCTGATTGAGCTTGCGACACCGATCAGTGCTTTGGTTCGTGAAATGGCATCAGGGTTGGTCAGAATTGCCCTGGAGTGTGACAAGGAGAAAGGAACAGAGAAGAAGGGTGTGAGGTTGCTGGAAGAGCCTGTGTGGAGGACATACTGCAATGGCAAGAAGTGTGGTTTTGCCAACAGAAGAGAGTGTGGACCAAAGGATTGGGATATCCTCAAAGCCGTGGAACCAATTTCAATGGGTGCAGGTGTTCTGCCAGGAAATAATAATGATAATAATGGAGCTGAAGCAGGGTCAGAGGGTGAAATCATGTACATGAGGGCCAAGTTTGAGAGAATTGTTGGGTCTAGAGACTCTGAAGCTTTCTACATGATGAATCCTGATAGCAATGGAGCTCCTGAGCTCAGTGTCTACTTGCTTAGAGTCTAGCAACCTTGCAAGCTATGTTCTTTCTTATCCTGTCATGGGTATCTCCAGCCTCTCGCTCACATAGTGTAACTGCCGCTGGCATGACGAGTTCTAGCACCCGTTGCAGGCTATGTTTATTGTACTTAGTTTTCCTCTTTGTTTTGGGTTATTGGTATACTACTATTTGCTTAGGTCTTCAATCATGAAGATGGTGATCTAGTCATCTCCAGATTTTTCTTTTCTTTTTTGTTTACTTTTTTTTTTCCTGTGGTACAAGGAGTGGGTTACTTTTTTTTTTGTTAGAGTAGGCTAAGTCAGGAAGGTGGGAAATAGTGGGTAACCAATACTTTACAGCATGGTTGTGTGAGGTGGGGCAAGAAAGGTGTATATGTGTCATTTTTCCTTTCCAATCCTTTAATTAATGATGAGGGACAGAGGTTAATGCAAATCATCATTGTCTTCCCATTTTTAGGTGGTTGAATAACTTTCAATAACTTTCATTTTAATCAATTCCAAATGGTGAATTGCCCTCTTCGCCGTTATGTACTAATTGCTTGTCGATTCAATTAATTCCCATAATTGAAGTGCTACTACATATTATGAATATTTTTTTGGCTCAGGTGATACATCCATTCTCCGAATTTTTAAAGTACACACAATAAAAAAGGAAAAAGAAAACATTGTGTTCACATCCTATGTCCCTATTATTGAGTTTATTATTTTTTGAGTGCCCTTAATTTGTATTCTAATGCATTCTTTCCTGTTTAGATAGGATACTTTATTGGTATCCTCCCCAATCCCACAAAAAATCAGTATTTGGTCTTAAAGTTACGATTGTTCCAATCATTTTTTTCTATGCACAATTTTGTTTGCGAAATGATCCCTATAAATTTTATTGAACACCAATCATAGGCGTCATAAAAAAACAGTATGTATATATTTTTAAGGAAATTTATATCCGATTACTGACAGCAGACCCCATATCTTCCTTTTTCCTTTGTTATATACATTTGCCATTAGCTTTTCCACTTGTTGACTACTTTTCTTTAGTTTGTCTAATTCAAATCTGTGTGACATTTTCATCAGTTTATGGCACATAGTAGTTTGTGCAGCTTGAGTTGAAACTTGTAAACTAGCCCAGTTCCCACCACCCTTTTTGTGTTACTTCTGGAAATTTAACTGTAGAATATATTAAACTCTTAGAAACATAATTGCAGAGGGGTTTTGTATCACTTCTAGAATTAAAATTTCATAATATATTAAACATTCTTCCAAAATTAGATATACGGCAATGATGCAAAAAAAAAAGTAGTGCCACTAATAAAAATGCTATGTAAAAGGTAATTCCGAAAACAAGATCTTTTCTGTGGCTTGCTGGATCACACTGGTGAACCCTTTTCCTTTTCCCATTTCCTTGTTTTCAGGCTTTCAATGTTCTGCTATTTCGTTGCAACCTGAGAGAACAGAGTGAAGGTGAGAATATACGGCTTACAACGAGGTCAAAAACCAAATTTCTAAGACTTCTTTCACCAAACCCAAAGTTGTTCATCATCTAGTCATCATTCTTCTAAATAAAAGCCAATTGCTGTACATAAAGTCTGGCCAAGGCTTTCATTATAGCTCCAATTAGTGCACCCAAATCCCCTAACCCACCACTAGACAAGAGATAGAAGAAAATGGAAGAGAGCATTAAGGTAGTTCAGTAGCCATTACAATGTTCATTTTGTCTCCACTTTTACATTTTTTAATTGTAGGGTCCATTCGGTGTGACTGCCTATCAATCAGCTACTAATCTAGTTTTGGGATAAATTTAATCATACAAAACCAGTTTATAAAATAAAAGTTATTCTCACTTATATCTCTATTTTGCTCATATCATTGGTTGAGAGAAATCACACCCCTTTCAAGTTACGGTTAGATATCTAAAGTGTGAGTTTGTAGGACTAAATATAGTCCAATAGCAAGTGATTTGATTAGCTCAATAATTAAGATAAACTTTAATATTATCTTAACAAAGTGAGTTCTAGACTTGACTAAACTCTACAAATCTAGCTATAAGGTGAATATTGTTCCCACTAATATACTTTATCTTGGTCATATCACCAATTGATTAGAGATCACACACACTCTCCTTCAAGCTGAGACTTGACATTTTGAGTGTCAAGTTTGCACAACTGAATATTTGTGTAGTTCGATTGCGGGTGATTTGATACGTTCAACAATTAGGATAAACTTTAATACTATCTTAAAAAAGTTAATTTTGAACTTAATACTACAAAATCAATTTATAAGGTAAAATTTGTACACACTTGTATATTCTATTTTGCTTATTTCACAAGTTGATGAGAGATCATATTCCTTTTCATATCAAGACTAGATATCTCAAACATGAAGTTAGTAAAATTGGGCATTTGTGGGCAACCCAATAGTGGGAGGTAAGATAAACCTAAAATAAGAATAAATTCTAATATTATCTTAAGAAAATGAGTTTTGAACCAATGTCAACCCTACAAAATCAACTTATAAGGTGGAGGTTGCTCCCATTTATGTTCTCCATTTTGGTAATATCGTTAGTTGATGAGAGTTCACACTTCCTTTCATGTCAAGACTAGTTATCTCAAGCATGATGTTTGTAAGACTAGTCATATGTGAGTGGTTCAATAGTGAAGACTTGATAAGCATAACAATTAAGATAAACTTTGATACCATCTTAAGAAAAAATTAACTTATAAGATGAATGTTTTTCCTCTCATATTCTATTTTGATTATATCACTAATAGACAAAAGGCCACACCCCCTTCGCCCTGAGACTAGATATCTCAATTATAAAGTTTGTCGGATTGAACATCCGGAAATGACCTAATAAACTCAACCGTTAGGATAGACTCAAATATCATCGTAAAAAATGAGTTTTGAATTTTATCTAATTTTACGAAACCAGTTTATAAGGTAAAACTTGTTGTATTTATATACTTTGTTTCAATCATATAACATATCAATGTGAAATCTCTCATCAATTAACTAATCGATTTCAACAAGAAAATGACCAATAGAAGTACTGACCACCCTGGTGGGGTGCATGTCATCATGAATTATGTTATAATTGAAGAAGCACATCAGGTTGCTGTTTGATTTAAGACAGTTTTGTGCATATTTTCATTAGACGGCTACCCCATATAAGGACTCCAAGGCACCACCACCACTTGTCCCTTCTCTGGGATATGTGCTGTCTTGTGGCCTACTTGAATAACAGGATCAGATAATTGATTTCATTAAAAGATTCCAATTTCGGATCGAATGTAATGCAAGGTCTGAAAATTTTAGAGAAGGACTTGGCAAAATTTTTGGTAGGTCCGAGCTATAGACCCAGGGAATATTATATTTGCTTGGATGATTTTGTTTTGCCTACAGGATGGATATATGCCTGTGTCTTAATCCAAACGTATATAACACTAGCAATAGTTCCATTGTTAATGTTAGGCATGTGTTATTGTCGGATACTGTTATGATCAGAGTTTTAAATTGTCGTCCAAAATAGCAATTGTGACCGTAGCATCAAAGCTTTTGAACCTTCTGGAATTGCATTGTGATCATAATCATAACCACATTGACCGCATATCTATAATATCACGGTCTTTTAACACTGTTCAGCCACAATGACAACAATTTGAAATCGAGTAAACACTTGTTTTAGTTTCTATAATATCAAGGTTTTTTAACACTTCAGCCACAATGACAACAATTTGAAATCGAGTAAACACTTGTTTTAGTTTCTATAATATCACGGTTTTTTAACACTGTTCAGCCACAATGACAACAATTTGAAATCGAGTAAACACTTGTTTTAGTTTCTATAATATCAAGGTTTTATAACACTGTTCAGCCACAATGACAACAATTTGAAATCGAGTAAACCCTTGTTTTAGTTCATGAATTTGAAAGGTGTCGTAATATTAGTTCTTAAAATTAAAAAATTATCAAATAAATCTTTGAAAATATAAATTAACAGTCATATTAATTCAAAAAAATTTAAAAATTATGTAACTAAAATAATAATATTGATATATATATATATATATATATATATATAAGATTAAAACAACATTAAGTAGTTAAATTTAATAACTAATTTCATAATATCTTAATTTTAAAGACTAATATGATGACTTTTTTTTTAAAATTTAGATGGTTAAAATGAGTGTTTAGCCTTTAAAACCTTGTTTGTGATTAGTTTATGCACGAAGGTTTGGTTGGAAACTTTTGGAAGTGGAACATTATTCTTAAAAGAATAACAATGTTGAATGAATGATGACCACAATTTAGAATGTTATTCTTAAAAGAACAATGATCAACATCCAATGGGGTATTTGGTCATGTTGATTTCTATTGCAAAAGCGGAAATGTAGAGATAAATGGATTTTGTAATAGTTGTTCATTTCTCTTATTTCTATATTATAATTCCATAAAAAGCTTAGCAAGAAAACCAGTTCATGGCAGACCCACAAAAAGTTACGTCATTGTTGGTTAAGATAGGGACTGAATCTTTGAATATTATTTTATCTAACAAAAATGGGAGCATAACTATCACAACAGAGGAAAACCTCTGAAGCATAAAAAATATAGAAACAGATGAAAATTAAAAAAAGATACAAGAGACCGCAATAAGCAATCTCCAAGAGGCACGTCGATACAAGTTTTACCCCAAAATTGGAGTGTAAGTGGATACAAATATCTCATGAACAAGAATGTACACGTACTGATATAATGAATTTGGATTAGGTTTATTTAGTGTTCGGGTTAAACATGACTCGACATGATCAAAATCAACATTATACAGTTTAGATTACGAGTTGTGTTTTATGACTTATGATTTAACCTATTAAGTGATATAATAATAATAATATTATTATTATTATTTAGATAATCATTTAAGACAATACTTCATGTCAATTTTATGTTACAACATATTTATTTTAATTTTTATTTTATATTAATATTTATTGTTTGAACCGATACCAATATCAATTGTTTTTTGAAATAGGAGTTTGTGTCGGACAATAGTCATGTAGAAACTTAAATGTAAATTTGGAAAGAGATACAATTTTAAAATTTTAATATAAGTAAATATTTTATTATGAATCGGTCTACACGTGTCAAGATTTTATGCTTCCACAAACTTTTCAATTGATTTATTCTCTTTAATTGGATGATAATGACATTACTAAATATCAATCTTTGTCTATAATATTTAATATAAAATATAAAATATTATTATCAATTAAATGAAAATCTATAAAATAATGTTTGGAGTAAAGTCATTAAATTAAATACGATTTAATTTAAAAATCAATAAATTAATTGTAATTTATTTAATTAATTAATTGACAACAAATATATTAATAATATAAAAGAAAGAAAATTTGTAATAACTTCCTTCTTTCCAAAATAATTTTTACATTTTCTATATATAATTATATATAAATTCTATTATAAAATAAACTAACATTAAAGATAATTAAAACCA